ACGTTAGGCTCAAAAAAATGTGAAGAACAGGGACCAGCACATGGCTAATGGCTACATCACTGGACTCCCACTTGTTCGACTGCGGTTCGAGTCCTGGACCTGGTGGCTTAAAACTCATGCAGGTGGCGTAATGGCTATGTTGCTGGACTCCCACGTAGCTGACCACATTTCAAGTCCCACACTGGTGGCTTTAATTGACGCCGGGCACATATGCGTGCGTGTCCAAGATCCCGAGGAGAATAGAGGAGAAGGGATTGCAGAGTGGCCATCCCCACAGGGAGGGGGGGGGGGGTTCTCAACAAAAAAACAAACAAACAAAAACCACACTTGGGGCCAGCAGGTGGTATGGTGCTAAGACACTTGATTCCCACATGACCTACTGCAGTTCATGTCCCAAGCCCAGTGGCGTAAAAAACACACCAGGCACATGTGCAGGCACACCCCAAATCCTGAGAGGAGGCTGGAAGAGAAGGAACTGCAGCGTGGCCAGGGCGATTTCTCACTTCCCCTGTCTCACACGCCTCATAGCAAAAACCAAAACACACAAAGCACCCAGGGCCGGTTTCTCGCTTTCTGTCTCTCTCCGTCTTTCTGGTGAGTGCACGCGCCTTATAAGCGAAAACCCCTCAAAAAAAAAAGTCCTACATGCACACCACCCACACCCTGGCAGGTGAGAAAAAGCACAAGGGCCGTGGGCACAAGAAGCTTCGCCTTGCTCATGCCGAAGGGGGCGCTGGGTGCGCACACTCCCCTCGGGCTGAGAGGGTGGCGCATGCCAACTCCAGGACCCAGCCTTGTACCCACTTGGGTGAACACGAGGACTCTGAAAGCTTAACGCGTCTGTAAAAGCCGCATTATCGCCAAGGAAATCCAGGGCCGTGTGACCGAGGCAGCCTCTCCGGGAGGCGCCTGACCATCAGGTACCGCCGTCCACACTGCCACTTGTGAGGGCTGGAAAAGCCCGCAGGCCCCTGGCTGTTCATCACACAGGCGTGATGAACCTCGGCTGCTGCAGGGGCGAAGGAGCTGTCCTCTCCAGGTGGAAACATGGTAATACCACGTTAGGCTCAAAAAAATGTGAAGAACAGGGACCAGCACATGGCTAATGGCTACATCACTGGACTCCCACTTGTTCGACTGCGGTTCGAGTCCTGGACCTGGTGGCTTAAAACTCATGCAGGTGGCGTAATGGCTATGTTGCTGGACTCCCACGTAGCTGACCACATTTCAAGTCCCACACTGGTGGCTTTAATTGACGCCGGGCACATATGCGTGCGTGTCCAAGATCCCGAGGAGAATAGAGGAGAAGGGATTGCAGAGTGGCCATCCCCACAGGGAGGGGGGGGTGATTTCTTGTTTTCTGTCTCTTTGGAGAGCACACATGCCTTATAGCAAAAACCTCTCCCAAAAAAAAGTGGGCCAACAGGTGGCATGGTGGTTAAGGATGCTGAACTCCCACGTGGCCGACCACAGTTTGAAGCCTGGACCTAGAGGCTTGCTTTTGCACTTCCTCTCTCTCTCTGTCACTCTCTGGTCAAATTAAAATAAATAAGTAAAATAATTCTTAAAAAAAAAAAGTGAAGAACAGGTGGCACATTCTGACCTAGAGGGTATTTTAAAAGAATAAGCCGACTGCGTGGCGTAACAGAGGAAGCTCTAGAATTATACAGTGGCCACAATAACGCAGGGCAGGAGGGGAAGGGAAGATGCAGATCTCACGTTTGACTCACCAACGTCTGCGTGGCTCGAATTTCTCAATGAAAATGTATTCGCGTGTTGTCTTTTCACAAAGAGAACATCAGAAAGTCCTCTGTCCTCGTCTCGGCCCCTGGCCAGAGCGTCCTGTCCTGCCACTTCCTCCGGATACCCAGACAGGAGACTGCAGCCCGGGGGGTGGGGGCTTGCAAAGACAAGTGTGCAGGCCCTCCAGGGCCAGTGCCCGTCCTCATGGCCGGGCTGAACACTTGATGGTACACGCACGATACGGAATGGACACATAAAACCCAGCAACAAGCAGGCCCCAGCGCGGCCGCCCAGTCCCAGCCGCAGCCACGGTGGGCCGGCCCGCGCCCGCGCTCTGGCAGAGGACCACTGTGACGGTGCCAGGGTCTGGGCCAGGCCCTTCTGACACGGAACCCACACCACAAGACTCCAGAGGGCAGGGTGCCCGTGGAGCGGCTCTGCTGTTTGGTCTCAGGAGAGCGCCCCATCTCAGGCCGAGCCCAGGTCTGCCCTCCACCTTCTTGCAGGCTGGTAGGTCTCGGGGCGCTGAAAAACCTCCCCCACTTACAGTCTGTGGCTGGAGCAGCCAGGCTCCGAGACCCATGGGCACTGCCAGTTGGAAGTGCCCCATCGTTGCCTGGCCTTTGCACAGACCGAGAGCGGGGAGCCGGCTCCTATCAGGAGGGGTGGGATAGGGCTCCCGGCGAGTGGTCTCCTTGGGTGCTCCCCATGTTGGAACTACAGGGCACCACCGAGGCTGGCCAAGGGAGGAAGCTGAGAACTGCCAGGAGCCAAGAGAAGTGAAAAAGAAGAACAGAATACAGTCACGTGACCTTTGGTGCAGACGACTTTGTCCTCTGGAGCCCACGTGGAAATGCTTTGAGGAGTGGCAGTTCTCCCTGGGCTGCTGAAGAACCAACCCGAGCCCACGGACAGCAGGACCACACCCGACAGCAGGACCCCTAAGCCCACCTCCCAACATGCAGTCTGCCGCCAAGCTCA